GAATTGGGAGAAGCATGTGGACCAAACTTTCCTTTCTCAGTCATCTTTTCTTGGTCTCTTTGACTATTTCATCATTGTGTGGGAAATTAGAATTACTAACCTAATATGTCAGATCATAGACTTTAAATGGACTTGTAATTCATGCTGTTACTATGTACTTTTACTTAGACTCCAAGCTTGATAGTCTTGGGAACCCAGACTTGCTAGGAACATGTTTAGGAACTAAGTGGAACTAGTGAGTCCTTGTTGTAGCTGTGCCTCCAAACTATATGGATGGAAATGCTGCTAGTGAGCATGAGGTTTGTAAGAACGTAGGTCAGGAATCCCAGTTTGGGAGTACAGTGGGCTTCTTCCTTTGGTAGTACTAGCTCTTAGTGGACTAGATAAAGCTCTCCAATGGCTTACTTATGTGACAATGATCCATCACTTCTACTGTGGTCAGGACTGTACTCAGGAATGTGAATGGGCACATGGAAGACTGATGCTTCCCCTGGTAGTACTAGCTTGGGAAACATTCCAGGAAACTACTCTGGCAAATAAAACAAAGTGGTGGTATGGAATTAGAAATCAATTTGTGATGCCATCAGGTCTACCCCTGGTGCATCTCCACCCTGCCTTGGTGGTAGAACCGTGAAGGACAAGTAAGGTGCCTGTGTCAGTAAGGGACAGACTAAGTCCAGCCAGGGAAGGGAAGCTTTGGTGGAAAGTCTGTCTACACTCCCATCTAGAACAGGGAGGGATGCCTCCGATGGAAGGAAGCAAAGGTGCTGGTCACTGCTTTTTTTCTCTCTTACAGATGGGAGCTACTCAAAGTTCCAGACTCACACCCTTGGATTGTGTGTCCTGAAAAACTGGGATAAGCTTGACCCCCGGAGTTTAAAGAAGACACACCTGACTTTCTTTTGCAAATCTGCATGGCCACAATATCCATTGGAGGGTGGCAGACAATGGCTGGTTGAAGGGTCTCTTAATTACAATACTGTTTTACAACTAGACCAGTTCTGTATAAGACAACAGAAATGGGTAGAAGGGCCATATGTGTTACTCTTTTCTTTCTGCAAGATATGCCAGACTTACATCCTAAGGGTACAGATTTGGGTGTAAAGCCTTCAGCTCCTTCCTGTCCTCTTACTCTGCCTCTATCTCTGAACCCAGAGATCACAACTGAGCAAGCTCAGGATCAAGGAATCCCTTCAGGAAGGGTTGCCTCAGTCTCAATAGAAGTTCAAACAACCCTAGTTCCAATGCAGCCTCAGACTACTTTGGTTTCAATAGGAACTCAGACAGTCAAAGTAGAGGAGGCATAGACAACCAAAACTAAGGATGAGATAGAGGACAAGAAAGAGGATGTGAATGAAGAAAAGCAGGTTTCTCTAAACTATCCCTGAGAACATATGTGAAGGATAGCTAGAGGGGCTGAGGAACAGCCACACAACTTACTGCCTCTTCAGGAGGCCCCCACTGGGAAAAATAACTAATCCATAAAAATCCATAAGCCCTTCTCTTACCCAGAGGTACAACAGATAAAGAGAGATCTGGGAGACTATCTAGAAGATCCAGAAAAGTACATAGAAGCCTTTATGGAACTAACTTTACTTTATGAGCTTACTTGGAGAGATGTAATGCATGTCTTGGGACAGACGCTGACTCCTGACTAGAGAGCTCGAGTTTGGGGGGAAGCTACTGCTTTTGGAGATGAATGGTTTGAGTGTGAGGCAAGGGGAAAGAGGGAACATGAAATAGCTCTTCTCCCTATGGGGAGTCAAGTGGTTCCCATAGCAGAGCCAGATTGGGATTGTCACAAAGAGAAAGAGAAATGGGAGGAGACCCATTTCGTCAATTGCATTATTGAAGGGCTTAAGAAAGCTCAAACTAAGACTCTAAATTATGCTAAGTTGGCTGACATAGAACAAGGAGAGAAGGAAAATCCGGGCAGATTCCTAGAGAGACTTCGGGAAGCCCTTCGAAATTTCAGTAATATTTCTCCTGAGAGTGCAGAGGGAGAGACGATCCTAAAAGATAAATTTTTCAGTCAGTCGGCTCCAGATATCTACCATAAGTTAGAAAAACAGGCGTTCAGACAGCATCAGTCTTTAGAAAAACTGTTTCAGTTGACTCAGATAGTATATTACAGTAGAGAACATGAGGAGGAAAATAAGAGACAAATAAGAACCAGGCAAAAGACTGAAGCCCCAACAATGGCTGTTAGACCTGCTCTGAAACAGCCCGAGGAAAAATGCCCAGAGGAACCCAGGTGAAAAGGGATGGACTTGCTACTACTGTGGAAAGGAGGGGCATCTCAAGTGCAGCTGCTCTCAGGCGTCTAAGCTGCCCCTGGCTTCCTGTCCGGTTTGTAAAGGACCACATTGGAAGAGGGACTGCCCCAGAGGTGTGGGCCCCAGAGGTCGGGCTCTCAGGACAATCAGGACTGAAGGTGCCCAGGGGTCCCCACACAAGCTCCCATCCTAATAACACCTGAGGAACTCTGGGTGTTAGTAGATGTGGGGGCCCAAGCAGTCAATTTTCTTTTGGACACTGAGACAACTTTCTCTGTGCTCTTTGAAGCCCCTGCTTCATTTTCCTCCTGATCCACTACTGTAATGGGACTGTCGGGATGAGCTAAACATTATTATTTCAGTCATCCTTTAAGCTACAACTGGACTCTGTGATGTTTTCTCATGAATTTATGATTGTGCCAGAATCTCCCTCACCCCTCTGGGGATGGATATACTGAGGAAGGCCCAGGCCTCTGTTTTCCTGAATATCGAGCCTACTCTTTCTCTCCCATTAATTGAACAAAATGTAAATCCTAAAGTGTGGGCTGATGGAAAAACGGTGGGTCCAGCACAAAATGCTATTCTTGTCATTATCAAGCTCAAAGACCCTCACCTATTTCCACATCAAAAGCAGTACCCACTAAAGCCTGAGGCTAATGAAGGGTTAAAACCCATCATTGAGAATTTAAAGGAGCAGGGGCTATTAATTCCCTGTAATTGTCCATGTGATACTTCTATTTTGGATGTGAAAAGTCAAATGATGAATGGAGACTAGTTCAAGTTTTATAAATAATAAATGAGGCTGTGGTTCCTTTACACACCATGGTGCCTAATCCTTAAACTTTATTGTTTGAAATTCCCGCACGGGAAAAAATATTTCTCAGTAATTGATTTAAAAGATGCCTTCTATTTTGTACCTTTGGCAGAGGAAAGTCAGTTTCTATTTCCCTTTGAGGATCCTACTCAGCCAGCTTCTCAGTTAACCTGGACAGTTTTGCCACAGGGATTTCATGACAGCTTCCTCCTATTTGGGCAAAGTTTGACACAGGATCTACAAAGCTTTAATAGCTCCGAGGCAGTGGTACTATAACACAATATGTAGATGATATTCTACTCTGTGCTGAGACAGAGGAAGCTTGCTCACAAGCCTCAGATTTCTTGAACTTTCTGGCAGGCTGCGGCTATAAAGCATCAAGGGAAAAGGCTCAGCTTTGTCAACAATCTGTTAAATATTTGGGCCTAATCATATCAGAAGGGACTAAGGTCATAGGCCCCAAGAGAATTAAGTCTGTACTAAATCATCCCCTACCTATGACTTTCAGACAATTGAGAGGATTTGGGGGAATCACAGGCTACTGCTGCTTTTGGACTCTGGGTTATGGGGAACTTCCCCGGCCTTTATATAAACTTATAACTGAACCTCAGCAGGCCCAAACCAACAAACTGGTTTGGTTTCCAGATACTCAAAGACTTTTATGTCTCTTCAGACTGCTCTCCTGCAAGCTCCCGCTTTGAGCTAGCCCACAGGGTCAGAATTTAATGTGTTTGTCATTGAAAGAAAAGGTATGGCCTTGGGAGATTTGATACAACCCCGAGGGCCTCACCAGAAAACTATAGCTTACTTGAGCAGAGAATTAAATGTAGTGTCACGTGGGTGGCCACATTGTCTGAGAGTGATTTCAGTGACTGCTTTATTAACACCTGAAGTCCTCAAAATAATTAATGGGCAAAATCTTACTGTACTGACTTCTCATGATGTGAGTGGAATCTTAAAATCTTAGGTTAATACTTGGATGACAACTTCTTAAATATCAGTCATTGGTGTTAGAAGGACTAAGCTTAAAATTTGTGGAAACTTAAATCCTGCCACTTTCCTTTCTGAAAAGGAATGAAACACCTGGTCATGATTGTTCCCAATTTCTAACTTTAAACTATGCAGCCAAGGAAGAGCCAATGAATACCCCATTAGACAATTCTGACATGGATATTTTTACAGATGGCAGTTCTTTTGTTTGGGATGGGAAGCGGAAAGCAGGTTATGCTGTCGTTACATCTGAACAGGTTTTAGAGGTAAAGTCTCGCCCCCGCCCCACCCCGGTACAAGTGCCCAATTGCCAGAACTTATTCCTTTGACCCGAGCCCTAGAGTTAAGCAAAGGGCAGCGAATAAATATCTACACTGATTCTAAGTACACTATTTGACTTTACATGCTCATGCTGCAATATGGAAAGAGAGACAATTTAAAACAGCAACAGGAGAACCTATTGAACATTTCAGAGATTGAGACTTTTAAGGGCTGTATATTGTCCTAAAGAAGTAGCTGTTCTACATTGCAAAGGGCACAGCAGTAACGGGAGAAAAGTAGCCAAGGGAAATCAGTTGGCTGATTCCCAAGCCAGAAAAAAACAGTGCTTCATGAACTCCCTCTCTTACAAACACCCTTAGTCTAGACAGGTCCTGCTGAACAGGAAAAACCACAATATGCTGAAGAAGAATTAGAAAGATATGAGAAAAGAGGAGGAAAAATCACTGATAAAGATTGGTTACAGTCTGAAGATGGACAATTAATAATTCCTGAAAATATTCAGTAAAAAATTCTTAAGGGTCTACACCAGAGTTTTCATTTATGTGTTGAGAGCACTTACCAGATGGGCCTGATAATCTATGTGGGCCTGCTTTTGCTGACCCCAAAAGTCCTGAGTCTGCCGTTTGACCCTTAAGACAATGCCTTCACGCCCTGGGCTCATTCTTACACTGCATTCCACAATTGGTCTAATTCCTGGGTCTTTGGAGCACTCCCCTCTTCACCAGTTGAAGGCTTCCCATGGCAGATTTCTCCATCTCAAGGAAAAGACTTTCTTCAACTCTGTGACATATATATCAGATATGAGTAGTAATGTTACTCAGTTTACTAAACACATGGACAAGATGATTCAGGCTATGGATTCTCCTGAAGCCTCAGTCACCTTACTTTGGGAAATGTTAACTAGCTCCCCATGGAGGAAAACTATCTTAATAATAATAATTCCAATTGTTCTGTTTTTACTGTTTGCTCCCTGCATCTGTAACTGTTTAACTGGATTTCTTTCTAACTGTCTGAAAGCTTTTAAGTTACAAATGGTTGTCCAGGCTCCTATGAGTGCCAGACTCCTCCAACTATTATTTGGGGGCCCTGGATCAGAGACCCTCAATATGAGGGTTAGGACAATATGTTGCCTCAACAATTTAGGGACGACACCCTTCAACAGCAGGAAGTAGTTATGGAATGAAAATGACTCCCCTTTCCCTTGGCAACATAATTCTCCTAAAAGAAAGGGGGGTTTTGCATATAGGGTTATCATTACCATCTTTCTAAATTCCATATATATGTGTTAGTATACCACATTTGGACTCTGTGGGAGAAGGCGAGGGTGGGATGTTTCGAGAGAACAGCATCGAAACATGTATATTATCTAGGGTGAAACAGATCACCAGCCCAGGTTGGACGCATGAGACAAGTGCTCGGGCCTGGTGCACTGGGAAGACCCAGAGAGTTCGGGTAGAGAAGGAGGTGGGAGGGGGGACCGGGATGGGGAATACATGTAAATCCATGGCTGATTCATGTCAATGTATGACAAAAACCACTACAATATTGTAAAGTAATTAGCCTCCAACTAATAAAAATAAATGAAAAAAAAAAAAAAGAAAGGGGGGGGATGAGAGAATTCCTAGGCAGGCTGATAAGAAGCCCAGGAGTTCCCAAGGAGAGAGGGGGAAAGGACAAACTTTTTAAATTTTTTTCTCTACATTCTTTAGTCTTAGTCACATAAAATTTTTTTTTCTTTAAGCCTGGAACTGATGATTACACAACAAACAACTCAATTTAAACTCTGTACTAGGGATTATATAACAACAATGTATCCTGCTTGAGGACAGTTTCTCCTTCCTACAAACCTTCTGACTAATGCTACCTTAGAATGTATATTATGGGAGTGAGTCTGGTGAAGTCAAGTGAAGTGAAGTGAAGTCACTCAGTTGTGTCTGACTCTTTGCGACCCCGAGGACTGTAGCCTACCAGGATGCTCTGTCCATGGGATTCTCCAGGCAAGAATACTGGAGTGGGTTGCCATTTCCTTCTCCAGGGGATCTTCCCAACCCAGGGATCGAACCCGGGTCTCCGACATTGTGGGTCTTGTAGAATCTTTCTATTGTTAAGTTCTAATCCTATTATACTAAAATGTAAATTGTGGGAGTGGTTCTGATAAAAGTTTTACAACCTTGAGACATTCTTTTGATTTATTGTAATAACTAATTTAAAAAGTATACAATTCCATTGCTAAAGACTAGTAAGTGGGGCATTCTCCATCCCCCTTCTGATGTCTATGTCAGAAGTTTCTCTGTCCCTTTTCATACTTTAATAAACCTCTGCTATACAAAAGCTCTTGAGTGATCAAGCCTGGTCTGACATAATTCACCGTAAGCTATCAAGATCCCACAAGCCATGTAGTGTGACCAAAAAACAAAAACAAAAACATCAGTGCTAATAAATCCTGACCTTTGATCAAAATATATTCATGGAAAGAATTGAGCAGCTTAGATTCTACCGTAGGTACTAGGGGCAAATGCAAGTCTGTTTTCAAGTTGCTAAGGCTAGAGTGAGGATAGTTCTTTAGGACATCAAAGTGAAGGCAAGAAGAGTAGAAGAGACAGACAGCATACTTTCCAGCAATTAACAGAGAAAGCCCCAGACTTCCCAGAAGAAAATTCCCCATCCCAGAAAAGAAAGCTTTCTTCCAAAAGGCCTGGCAAGAGCTTATGGTGTGAGACCATTAAGCAGACTTTTCTAGGGGCAGAACTTTATTTCGGTAGAAGTTTGGGTAGAGTGTTGAGGATTCCTGGGAAATGATGGTGCACTGAGGAAATGAAATTACCAGAATAGCACAGTGGATTTGCTATCTCTTTTCTCCTGTTACCCCATTCACCTCTCCTACCCCACCTCCTCCTACTCAAGGATAATGTCCCAAGAGAAGCCAAGACAATCTTACAGATTCCTCTTCCTGCCCCCCCCCCAATTCCTTATTATGATCTCTTTGCCTTTGTAGATGATTTTCCTGATGAAGAGTATATCCTGAGGAGGTTCGTTCAAGTCCACTTCATGCTGAAGGTTTTGGGCTTGATATGTTCAGAATCATATGTCCATGCTCTCATGATCAAGTTCCTGACTGCATCTTGGGCCAAGCACTCAGAGATAACAGACCCCAGAGTGAGGTAGAAGGGAGTCTGGATCATCCCACTGGGTTTTTGGAAGGCCTGAAACCATTTGCCCAAATGCCTGTGTCTATCCCATCCTACTGTACTGAGTCTTGGTTACTTATCCAAGGAAATAAAGATATTACTTTTACAAAAACTATAATAAGCAGAAACCTCAAGTAAATGGAGTCAGAAGAACAGAAGAGGGAGTTCTCACACCCTATGACATAGCAGAGCCCAACAGACAGAAGAAAGACTCTCTCTCCTTGCCCAGCAAGAGTTCAGCCAATGAGAGCCAGTCACAACCCAGCCAATGAATAATGATGGACTGCTTATTTACTATAGCCTTACCAATTTCCTTTCTCCCTCTATAAAAGAGTTCTCACCATTTTTTTTTGCTGTAGACTTGCATGTGGCTCACCATAGCTGTAGATGCCAAGTTGCAATTCTTTGCTGATCTGGAATAAACTCTTTTTTTGCTGGAGAAATAACTGGCAGTCTATTTGTTTTGAATTGACATATTTGTCACAGGTCTGTTTGCCAGGATTGAGCAATATTGTAAAGCACCCAACACAATGCCTGGCATAGTATATACTGGTGGTGACTTTTTAAACTAGAGTGACAATCTGATTTGCCCAAGACTTTTCTGGTTTTAGCACTCAAAGTCTCACATTGTGGGAAACTCCCTGAGTTCTGGCAGTCTGCAATAGTTGGTCACCCTATTTTCAATCCTCTCTTCTCAACACTCCAAAGGAAAGTATAGTCTAACCATCTAACATTTTCATTTGTTTGACTCACAAACCAATCTACTTCTGTATTTCTCTAATCAAAATTCTAAAATTTTGTAAAAAAAGAATACATAGATTGAACAATGTGCTTCTAATGTCCATTCCTCCTAATAACTCTGTGTTCTAGGACAGTGCTTCTCAACTAAGGTGATTTTACCCACAGGGGATATTTGGCATGTCTTCAGACATTTCATGTTGTCACAACCTGAGAGGAGAAGAATGCAAACTGGCATCTAGTGGGTGAAGGCCAGGGATGCTGCTAAACACTCCACAATGCACAACTCCAACAATAAATTAAAAAGGATTCCCTGATAACTCCATTGGTAAAGAATTCGCCTGCAATGGAGGAGACCCCGGTTCTATTCCTGGGTCTGGAAAATCCACTGGAGAAGGGATAGGCTACACACTTCAGCATTCTTGGACTTCCCTTGTGGCTCAGCTGGTAAAGAATCTGCCTGCAATGTGGGAGACCTGGGTTCGATCCCTCGGTTGGGAAGATCCCCTGGAGAAGGGAAAGACTACCCACTCCAGTATTCTGGCCTAGAGAATTTCATGGACTGTATAGTCCATGGGGTCACAAAGAGTCGGACATGACAAACAATAAATTATTTCAGTCAAAATGTTAATGGTGCTGAGGTTGAGAAACCCTGGTTTAGTGGACATTATTAACTCAATAGTACTATAAATGAAGTCTCTCAAGCTGAGTAAGAGAAGTAGCTCAAGGTCAAAATGTTAATTGGTACATATAGTATCAAAACCCAGACTGGTTGACTCTGAATCCAGTTCTTTTGTTACAATATGGCAACACTTCTAAGAAATGTTTTGTTTCTCACCTCATTTGGGTTTATCACATCCCTGGCATGATAAGACACAACACTTGTTAGAGATGAGAAGGCAGAGTCTCCAAAACTCAGATTGTTAGCTTTTCAATCAAGTTTAGCTTGTACCCTGAAGCCTGCCCCTTTCCTCCCTTCCCCCACCACCCCCCCTACATGACATAGAATATGATGAATATAGAATATGTGAGAATTTGGTCACTGACTGGGGCTCTTGAGAGGCCTGCTACTGCTGCTGCTGCTGCCGCTAAGTAGCTTCAGTCATGTCCAACTCTGTGCGATCCCATAGACAGACCCCACCAGGCTCCCCCATCCCTGGGTTTCTCCAGGCAAGAACACTGGAGTGGGTTGCCATTTCCTTCTCCAATGCACGAAAGTGAAAAGTGAAAGTGAAGTCCCTCAGTCATGTCCAATTCTCAGCGACCACATGGACTGCAGCCTACCAGGCTTCACCGTCCATGGGATTTTCCAGGCAAGAGTACTGGAGTGGGTTTCCAGTTCCCTCTCCACCTGAGCGTTAACGCTGGTGACCAGGGTCGTGGTGCAGAGGGAAGACTGAAAAGTCCATCCTTGCCACAATAGTAATCAGTTATGGTGAAGCAGCAAACCCATCCCTCCAGCCTCTTAGCATGTTCAAGAATGCCTCCAGTCACTGATTCCAAAACCAGTTCTCAAGAAAGGCCACACTTTGCACTACTGAGCTTATAGATGTGGCTTATTGATACAATCTAGCCCAAATCTCTCATTTTATAGAGAGAAAAAAATGAAGTCCTTAGAAAGGTCTGGCTCATTATTTTGAAGGGGAAGAGGACAGGAATATTACGGTGCCCTGCCACCTAGTGCAGAGTTTATGTCACTACATTCTCTGGAATCAGGCTTGCAGGCAAGCAGGCCCTTCTTCTTTAGTGTAGGCCAGTGTAATACCTCTCACCTATGTGTCCTTAACACCCAGTAGGCTCTCTTAATAAACTGGAATTTGAGGATCCTGAGGTAGATGTTAGGGTGTAGAGATGGAGGAATACTAGAAATGAAGGGGGCTGTAGATCTTTTCCCTGCCCTTTTTGACATTTCTTTTACACTGTGGTCCTGGACTGCTGACTCTCTTTCATCTTAATCCTGTCTCCTGGCCTTACTACCTAGCTTTCATTCTCATATTGCCCTTAACCTTGGTCAATCTGTCCTTTTTAAAAGCTTCTAAATATCAAAACAAAGGATTAACCTTAAATATAACATTTTCTATATTGTAGCTAGCCAGTACACATATGTCTATTACCTGTCAGGTCCCAACAAGCATCTGAGTTTGGGACTTCATTCTACTCTGAGCCTTTATTCCCTAAGTTTCTCAGTCAAATTGAGTATCCCAGCCATGTATTTCTTTCTCACAGAGAAAACACCTAGTTTTCTC